AAATGCTCTGGGCAAATGTAACATATACAGGCAAATATTAATTTTATCTGGTCACAATGGGTTCATCATATACATCAGCCTTTCTCAGCTTCATCCCCATAAGGACTGCAATTCTCAAAATTCCCAGTCAACTTGGGAATTGGAGACTCAATACAACTGGAAAATACCAGGTTAGGGAAGGTAGTATATGCAGTTTTGAACTCTTTTGAAGAAGGGTGCCATACGAATACTGTATGAGAGTTACTTTATTACTGAGCAAAAACTAAGCTAAGAGATAAAGACAATCTCTCCTCTAAGCGTCTCTATTTCTTCTAAGGAATTACTAGCCAGATTGTACATCAGATTAACATGTACAGTAACCTAAATCAATAGTGGTTGATTTAGGCTGATATATGTGTTAATGAAAACAGTGTAGCATTCATTATACCAATCCATAGCCATACAATGCATAATGTTGTTCCTACGAAGAGTACACACATTTTAAAAGATTATGTCTGTTTAAGGCATAGACAGGCAAGTAGTACAAATTATAAGGTAGCACTGCAATTATGAAGCAAGAGGCCCTGGTGCAGCTTTATATTGCTTTTTATTTTTCTTAAACTTGGTTAGAATATGCACATTACCACAGCTATGCTCTATATGGGTATATGTTTAAAAATAAAGATTGTGTAGTCATTCACAACAGCATTGTTATGCATTGTGTAGGAAAATAGCCTTTCCGCTTAAATCATCACCACACCAAGATTTCTTACCTCCATTTTTTTTTTCTTTCTCTCTCAGGTCAGAGGGAGAAAAGGCAAAATGCTGATAACCTAGTTCTACCAGTTAAAACTATTTTTTACCAATAAAAGTTATAATGTCAATGGACTGGAGAATACAGTTCATGTTCAAGGAAAATGCAAGCACTGTTTGGTAGGAAATGAAATATTGGGGAGAAATCACAGCAGAAGAAAAGATTGAGAAGTAAAATGTGCCATGTAAGCAGGCTACATGTTAATATGGGGAGGGGATGCAAGTGTAAATTGGCACAAGTATATTAGTCAAATATTAATATAAAATTTTTGTCTCAGACCTATCATCTGCTATATGCTGTACCTACGATGACATTAAATTGGTACACTGTATTATACACATTTATTTTTTATTTAATTAGTTTAGAAAACATTACATCCTACCTGTCTTCCAAAAGCCTCAAATAGTATATGTAGTTCTTCTTCTACCTGTCTTGTCTCAAACTTGTGCAATAGATTAGGATGGTCAAGTACTGCTTTTGATTGAATTTATACACTAGGGTAAGTCAGAAATGACTGTGTAGGACAGGTTCTCAACCTGTGGGTCGGGACCCCATTTGGGGTCGAACGACCATTTCACGGGGGTCGCCAAACAACGCAGTCCGCCATTTTTTCCCCCTTTTCCTTAGCTGTGCTACTCCCTTTTATTCTATTGGCTTTTGAAAGCCAATAGAATAGACTCTCTTGAATAGAGTCTAATTCTATTGGCTTTCAAAAGCCAATAGGAATTGTCCAGGCTGTCTCTGCCCTGCTGAGCCCGCCAAAAGTCCCATTCTGCAAACGGTGCTGCACCAGTTGAGTAGTCCTCGACTTACGACCGGTTGAGTAGTCCTCGACTTACGACTGGTTGGGGGTCGCGGCATTAAAAAGGTTGAGAACCACTGGTGTAGGAGGATGGCCATATTAATCCATGGTAGACAAAAACCAGGAGTCTGGTAGCATCTTTTCAGATCTACAAATGCCCCCAGATTGCTGATTTTTTTTAACTTCATAATGACTAGATCACCCATTATATTAGGACCAAATCAAACAAACCATATTATCACTTATCAGGATATATGAACCCAGTTACTGATTGGCCATCTGTAGTGGCCAAAAAAAAGGTCTGGTTGTACATTTCATCAGATGTTGCTGTTCATGAAATCTTATGCATTTAAATTAAATTAAACCCAGTTACTGATTGGTCAAATGATTCTAGAGAGACTATAAAGAACCTGAAATATACAAAGTAGGTATTAAATATATTTAATGCAACTATGGTTAACAAATTGATTAAAATCTTGAAATAAATATAATGCTTTCATATCCTGTGATTCAAGTCACTATTCCACAGAACAGTACATGGTAGAATATTACTTTTAAGTAGGGATAGCAACCAATAGATTAAATTTCCACATGCTGGCAACTTTCAGTGCTCTAAACTAGAGAACAGTTGTGCTAGTTTATTGTAGAAAACAACCTCATGTGATGCTTTAAGGCAGGGGGTCCTCAAACCTGGCCACTTTAAGACTTGTGGACTTCAACTCCCAGAATTCCCTAGCCAGCCATGCTGGGGAATTCTGGGAGTTGAAGTCCACAAGTCTTAAAGTGGCCAAGTTTGTGGACCCCTGCTTTAGGGACTTAGAAATTGGGCTTTAGAATACTATAGATAAATACAGGTAGTCCTCAACTTACAGCAGTTCATTTAGTGATCATTCAAAGTTATAACGGCACTGAAAAAGTGACTTATGACCATTGCAGCATTCCCATGGTCATGTGATCAAAATCCACACGCTTGTCAACTGATTCATATTTAAGACAGTTGCAGTGTCCTGAGGTTTTGCAACTTTCTTACGAGCAAAGTCAATGCTTAACAACTGTAACAAGAAAGGTCATAAAATGGGGCAAAATTCACTTAACAAATGTTTCTCTTAGCAACAGGAACTTTGGGCTCAATTGTGGTTGTAAGTTGAGGATTACCTGTACTGTGGGCACAATTATTAGGGAAAAGTGTTTATTCAGATATTTCTGTCTAATTTGTTAACTACTTTTATCCAATACCTCTTCTTTGCATAGAAAAGAAAACTAATTTTGAGGTTTTTCCTACAAAAAGTACCTCAAGTAGTACAATATTACATTTTAATTTAATTAATACTAAATGGGCGCTAGGTTGTTTTTTCTATAATGAAATAAATATTAGAAGTACAAATACTTTAAATAAATATTACCTATGGTAGTTTGGGATTTGACATGGAGGTTTGGTTTTTTTTCTACTGTTAGTTAAGTTCTACTCGCTTTTTGACTTTCAGATGTCTTCTCTAGAAGCATTGTAAATGAGAAAGAAAACACTGAACACAGGAATAAGAACTTTTTCAGGATGTAAATGTAGGAATTGTAAGAAACAAATTTACTCTGTGTGGTCTCCAGGGTGTTGCTGCTGTGAATGGTTCATTACTACTATTAATCTATCTCAGAGGTCCCCAACCTTTTGGGCACCAGGAACTGGTTCCATGGAGAGAGGTTTTTCTGCGGACCAGTGGTTTATGTGCTGCCTGCATCCCGCGGATGGGGTTTTCCTTGTTTGTGCGGACCAGTTGCCGATGTGCCGTGACCCAGTACTGGTCCACAGCCCGGGGGTTGGGGACCCCTGATCTATCTAATACTTATTAGTTTCACTTTGCATCAAGAGAGGACCTTTTTTGTAAAGTTGGTGCTTTGAAACATGTTACATAAGATTGCTGTGTCCCAGTTTTCATGTTTAGGATCACGATATTGTTCAAATCCTTTTTGTCAATCTAGAGGAATTAAGGTGTTAAGATTAGCAAAAATGTTTAAAAATATGTCAGATAGATGTTGGAAATGTAAACATAATATAGGCACGTATTACCATATTTGGTGGACATGTGGGAAGGCAAAGGCCTATTTGAAAATCATACATATGTGGTTAGAAAAAATATTGGGTGAGCAAGTGGATTTTAAACCTGAGCATTTTTTTACTAGGCATTATGTCTGAAAAGATTAATGAGTAGAAATTATATTTAATTCTACATATTACCACAGCAGCACGAATAATTTTTGCACAGTACTGGAAGAATGAAGGATTGCCATCAGAAGAAGAAATAATCACGAAAATATTGGAATGTGCAGAGATGGACAGACTAACTATGAGGCTGAAAGACAAAGAAGATACGGACTACTATAAAATTTGGAATTTATTCTATTCTTGGTTAGAGAAAAGAATGAAGGATTAGGAAGTGAACATGTATTAGCTTAGCAAACACCAGACAACTTGTTTGATTGGAAAAATTAACATATGTTGATGAAAAAAAATTAATAAAAAAAAGATTGTTAAGCATAGAAGAGTTAAGGTGGGTAAAGAGCAATACAAAAATACTATTTTCAAGCCAGAGAGAAAATCTGAATGAATATTTAATCTAAAATCCTCCATGTTCTAATTGGAATGAAATAGGCACACCCAGGTTTTGCGTGTGTATTGTGTTCTGTCTGCCTAATTAAAAAAAATGGCATTCCCTAATGCTCTCATCTAAGAACTAATCAAGTCCAGTCCTGTTTAGTTTCTAAGCCCAGGCAAAGTGACCTGGTGCCAACTACCACTTGTATTAATACAGTTGCGTGTAATTCCCTTTTTCCACTCTCAAATCAGAGTCTAGTTTATGAAATCTGGATCTGATGGCCCAAAAGTCTGAAAGTGGTGTCCACCCTTCCCCCCAAGCAACATTTTTCACAACAAAGGTCTCTTTTATTTTCAATTTTTCTAAGGAAATCAGAACAGTCCAAAACATAGTTAAATCTGCAAAAATGCAAGCATAGCTCAGGGGAAATATTATTCCGTTGGATTCATGATGTGGTAATTCTGGTGATACTGCCTGAATTCTATCAATGGAATTGACAATGGTGACCATGTATACTTTGATCTCTTTTATTACAGTACACAATTTCTTCCAATTACTTCCATTTATTAAGCTTTCTCTATGAGAGGAAGGAAATGTTCATTTGGTAAAAAATATGTTCAGCTTCAGTATCTTCTTAAAAGAGTTCAGTTAGAAAAAAACTTACTCCCCAATTTGCTGTCCTTTCACAGCAGTTCTTTTGGATATGAATCTACTTCTTCTCCTTTCTACTTATTTCTCCAGCTGATCTTCTAGGGAAGGACATATGTTGTAAGGATGCTGCCAAATTTTATTTTCCTGTATGTTTTCCCTATACCAGGAGATGGGAAGAATGGGTCATCCGCTTCATCCAGCACAGTTTCTCAGTTCACGCTTCCTCACACTGAAGCTAGAAGCTTCCAAGCCACAGCCACTAGTAGGGATGACATTATCACAAGCACCCCACAAATCAGTGTCAGCAGCATCGGTCAGATGGATTATCTGACCACTACTACACCTGGCTATTTGAATACCACAACAGGGATACAGACTCAGACTGCAAATAATGCCTCCAATAGTAGCACTGATCCTTCTTTATTTCTTACTCCAACTACAAACTTACTGGAAACCAATACGTTTGGCCTGGATGATGATAGAAGATACAACAGTACCACATCCTTGCTTACTTCCAGCAGTAAGATCCTGGCTACAGAAATTTCACAATCAAAGGAGACACAAGGTAAGACTGGGCAATTATCAATAATTTATAATGGCAGGTGGTTTAAATAAATATGGCCAGGATGACTCATTCTGCTTCATAGCCACAGCCTGTAAAAACATTATATTAGATTACATTAGATACTCTGTATTTCCCAAAAATGGAAAAAATGAGCTAAAAAACCCCCCACTAAGTTTGCAGAGTTACAGTTAAATATTTCTGTGGCCTCAGCATTCTAAAAAATATGTTACTGATAGAAGGGAAAATTTGTAGCTCAAGGTTGAACTATAGGGTCCTTGGTTTTTCTGAGCTTGGTTATTTTCTTGCAGATATTTCATTACCAAACTAGGTAACATCATCAGTTCTAGTAGATAATGAGGTTTACTCTCATTTTATATACCAGTGGCTTGCCCTGTCAGTGTTGGTAGGACTGCTCTTGGTGGTTCCTTGATTAGGCTGTTGTTTACTATTAGCTTGCTTGGCAATTTCTTGATTGAGGTATTATTTGCTTCTTGATTGTTAGTCTAATGTTAACCTTAATGTTAATCTCTGCTTATCTGAGTGTTGATTGCTCTTGATAAAGCTTTCTGGTCTTTTTGTTTCCTTTTTGGCTTTGTAATTGTCTATTTTGAATGGTATAGTACAGTGACGGCGAACCTTTTAGAGACCGAGTGCTCAAATTGCAACCCAAAACTCACTTATGCATCTTGGGTGCCGGGTGGGTGTGGCCCATTGGCTGAGTGTGGCCCATTGGGTGGGTGTGGCCAATTGGGTGGGTGTGGCTGCAGTGGTAACAGCAGACTGGGTGGGACTAAAAAGTTCAATCAATCAATTCCAGCTTTGCAAGATCTTTTTTTTCCCCACTAGAAGTTGAAATTGACTGGTTGATTGAACCTTTTTTTTTTTTTGCACACGGTGGTGGATGCCTAAAGCGAAAAGGTTTTATAAAACCCAGCTGAGGGCCTAGGACTGGGGCAACGGCACACGTGCCCACAGAGAGGGCTCTGAGTGCTGCCTCTGGTACCCGTTCCATAGGTTCGCCGCCACTGGTATAGTAGATGTTGCTTATGCCTAATGTGCCTGTTGATGGCTGATTTGTTTGAGTCCCAGGCTTCCAGGAAATCTCTAGTGTTTTTGGACTCGACTTTGTCTAGGATACTCACAGTTTCCCAGTTGAAACTGGTTAGGTTTGCCCATGCAGTATAAATTAAGGAACTTTCATCATGTCTTCTGACTGCTAGTTGGTGTTCATGGATGATCTGCCTTTTTGTCTATGTAATCCTTACATTGTATGCTATAGTTGACTCTTTTTTCTTCCTGGGTTGCTGGGTCTTGTGGTTTACTTAGGATGTTTGGAGGGCATTGGTTGGTTTGGGTGCTACAGCTATATCATGTGATTGTAATAGTCTATTGGTGGTTTCTGAGATGTTTCTGATGTATGGCACTGTTATTCTTTTCACAACATGTATTGGTTGTGCTACATTGGATTGAGTGGTCAGGCACTGTGGAATTGTGTGGAAATCCAATTTGTTATAAGATGTTGTATAGATGATCTATTTCTTTTTTCTGATGTTCAGGGTTGCTGCAGTGTGTTTGTGCTCATCTAAAGAATGTTCATACACAGTTTCTCTTGTGGGAAGCTCGGTTGTTACTTTGCTACTGGAGCACTTGGTTAGTGTGGGTGGTTTTAGAATAGACTTGTTTCTAATTTGCCATCACTGCTGCTACTGATGAGAATATTCAGGAAGGATAGTGTGTTGTCGTTTTCCTCTTCCCTAGTGAATTTTATTCCTTTCAAGTTTTGTTAATGGTTTCATGTGAATTCTCGATCTTTTTTTGATTATGAGAGGGTTGTCATCTACATACAGATCCATATTTGGGTTGTATATATGAGAATGCTATTGATTCCAGGCATTGCACTACAGTCTCTATTATTATTCCTGAAAGTGGTGATCCCATGTGTGTGCCTTTGATTTTTTTATATATTTGTCTGTTGAACTAAAAGTACAGGTAGTCTTCAACTTATGACCATAATTGAGCTCAAAGTTTCTGTTGCTAAGTGAGACATTTGTTAAGTGAGTTTGCCCCATTTTACGATCTTTCTTGTCACAGTTGTTAAGTGAATCACTGCAGTTATTAAGTTTGTAACATGGTTGTTAACTGAATTGGGTTTCCCCATTAACTTTGCTTGCCAAAATGTTGCAAAAGACAATCACATGACCCTTAGGACACTGCAACTGTCATAAATATGTGTCAGTTGCCAAGCATCTGAATTTTGATTATATGACCAGGGGGATGCCTCAACAGTTTCAAGTGTGAAAAATGGTCATAAATCATTTTTTTCAGTGCTTTGTAACTTTGAATGGTCATGAATGAATTGTTATGAGGACTACCTGTATGTGGTTAGGCAGAGATTGATAAGATTCATGATTCAGGGTATATCAATCTTGGTGTATTCGTTTAGGCTGGTTGTGTGCTGTGTAGTAAGGCTGTCATGGATTCTTTGGCAAATTCTGTGTCTCTGGATGTAAAAGTGCTGTGACACCAAATTCTTCCTCACTCAAGGAAGAATTCACCCTTACTGAGAGTTAAATGTTTCTCTGCAGGAACATCAGCTGCTTCCCAGCCAACATCTTCTACATTTATTACCACGGGGCTTGCAAAAAATACCACACCAGTCATGGACCCTAAGGCTTTCACAGAAGAGAACACTGTTGCCTCCACATCATCTCCAAGGACTACTATTGGTGAACAAGTGATCACATCCAATACTTCTCAATCAGTAACACTTGAGATTGCCTCCTCTACTTTCTTACCTCACAAAATCATATCAGCAGAGACAGAGCAACCAACTAAACATGAACACAAGACAACTGTATTTGATGTGGGAAACAATCAAGGTACACATTTAGCAATCTTGTCTCATCTAGAGAATAAATGATTTAGAATGGGTTGGTGAGAACCGAGAAATAATTAAACTCAATCTTGGATAAAACTATGGAAGAACTATATAGCCCAGTGACAAATCATATGCTCTGTAAGCAGAAGGAAAAGGCCATATATTCAGTCTCTGACATCTCCAAATTAGGTTGGGAATTAATTTTGGGGAAAACATGTTGAGAGAGGCAATGCAAGTTTGTATAAATAATACTAAAGACAATGGTGAATTTGGGTTATGCAGCTCAATGTATTCCTTTGATTATTCAAATATGTAGTTATGTGAATGCACCTTCATAGCTTTAAAAGATGAACTACATTTTACTGCCTTCTTCTTGCTTTCAGATCTGCCCAGTATACCAGTAGCCAATCCAATAGGAAAGGATCCCCTGATGATTGCCCTCGTTGTAATTTTTGTTGTGACAGTAGGAATTCTGGCTCTCCTGGGTTTCTTGAGGTATCGACAACATAACAGTAGACTACGGTTTAGACGTCTCCAGGACTTGCCTATGGTGAGCATCTGTGTAATCAGTTGGGCTTTTACCCATTCTATTATTTTTCCTCTAGTTCTAGGATTTTGAAGGGGAGGAATAAATGTCACAATACAAATGTGTACATAGAAAGGTGAATGTTAACAGATCCTTAGGAGCATTCAGATATAATTAGTGAAGGATTATGTATTGAGAGTAGCAAACATATTTAGTGAATATTATTATATCCATGGAGTTAGGAAAGAAAAGGGATTACTATGCCTGTAGCTATAACTTTTCCAGATTAATGGAATAGCCTTATTTGAATAGTCTAAAAGTTGGTATTATGGCAGCTATCTAAATCAGTTCCCCATTTCAAGTTTAATGAACTGTCTAATGTACTTTCTCATCAGGAAGGATGAGAATCTGGTCTAGGACATGGCTTCATTGCCACTGTACCTTAATATTAGTTAACTAGTCTGTCTGCTCCAAAGGGTAATTCTTTGAGATGGCAGAGGCTCAGCTTCATTAAGTGATGCTTCAGAAGTCACTAAGAATATATATAGTACATAACTTAGATATCTCTCACTAGTGTCTCGGCTAGCACAAAATTAAAGTTTTTCTCTTTCTTATAGGATGACATGATGGAAGACACACCTCTTTCCCTCTACAGCTACTGAACAACAGACTTTTTTTTTTTTTTTTAAATCAGAACCTGTTAAAGGCTACAAAGCTTATAAAGGATCCCAGCTGGGGAGCAACTCTACAATTTTGGAGCTGCTGTACTGACATGCAAATAACTATGGAATTGCAAATCAAATGACTTACTTTTTAAAAATGCTGTCTTTTTTTCTTATTTTTGAAAATTGGCTTAACCAAGACTTTTTCCTCAATACATATGCATTTTCTGTGACTGGATACATGCAATGCTGGAGAAAAATGATTCAACAAGCTTTTCAACTGCAGGCTTCATATCAAAGATAGATATGTTGGATTCTGAGAAAATACACTGTATGGGGTGCTTTTTTTCCACAAAAAGTAAAAAGTATGAAATATATGGAATATGATGTGTTTCTTGAGAGTGGAAATGCAACCAAACTGTGATTGGGAGATCAAGTTGGCTCTCTTATTTTTCTTGAATTACATTTCAAGTTTCTATCAAGATTTAAAACATGTTTCAGAAGTAGTGATCTCATCCTTTTAATCAGGGCCCTCTGAATTATACTAAAAAAATTAGTCCAGCATTCATTTTCATATGGGGCCATGCAAATGTCTCTAGCAAGTTGAGACAAAGTTAAAAAGCAATAATCTTCTATTCCAGTTAATGGTATTCAGTATTTACACTGCATAATCTGACTACTGTTACTGGAGTACATTTTCCCTTTACTTTACAGTGTTTTTGCAGAGAATAAGAGTAGCTATAGTTTATACTGTTTTCAGCACTTGATTTAACATCTGTTTACCAAGGAAATTGTACTCCTTTATTCAATACTAAGGGATGGCACACGAAATCATTCTTAATATTTTATCTAAATATTTGTTTAATCCTGCCAGTATTGTTGACAATACTTCGAACAATAAGATTGTGCAATAACTCTAATAGGTGCTGTTGTTTGAAGGCTGTATAGTAGCTTTTTGTGCTACTATTTACCAAGCTCAAGCAGTCCTGGCTACTTGGAAGGCATGAACATCTGAAATTTGCCTGTTTACACATGCAGCTTTTATCAATTCATGTCATTTATCATATTCAATGTATACGCTGGGTAAATATACTAAAATAAGCCTTAATGCTGTTTATTTGGTTAGATTGAACAAGATGGGTAAACCCAGCAATAGAGGTTTTTAACTCAAGGTTTATGGCTTGGCATGGTATGAATCCAGTTATTTGTTGTGTAGTCAAGATACCACATTTGAAAAATGGATGCAGGATGATTTGTGATTTACTCTGGGATTGAGGTAGCTTAAAAAGAGAAGCCTGAGATTGATATTTATTGAGGATCTCTGTACTAGAATTTCTAAGTGTCAAGTGGACTTTTTGCAGGACAAAACAACCATGGAGACAATTTTTAACCAGCCTATAACATCAAAGGTCTGCTACTTCATTTCAAGATCACATGTTCTTATTTTATTTATTGGATTTGTTATCCTGCCTTTATTACTTTATAAGTAACTCAAGGCAGTGAACACACCTAATACTGCTTCCTCCTATTTTCCCCACAATAATTAGGCAGGAAGTCACTAAATAATATAATATTATGACAGAAATGTAATAATAGCATTAACTCTCAAATGTTTTTATTAAGCTTAGTTTTCTAAAAACCAACAGCTCTCTTCTGAAAACAAGACCAGTGATTTTATCTAACAGATTTTTTTTTTGTCCAGCATCATTGCCATGCTTTCTGTGGTCTTCAGCACCAAAAATAAATAAAAGAGCCACCAGCTGCAAAAAGGCTTGCCTATCCCAGTATTAGGCTATTTCTCAGAAGGTCTTTAATGATGATGGGCCTCAAATGCATCAAGGAATTCCTAGGCAAGTCTGCAGAGGATATTCTACAGGTTCTGTTAAGCTCAGCTGCCTCCTTCAGCATTGTAGTTTCCCTGAGGCTAGTACAAAGCGGTACTCAAGGTTTCACTTCACAAGAAATAGACTCTTTAACAGCATTAGTGGGCAATGTGCCAAGTCCTTATAGATCCCTTTGAAGGTGACAGAAAGCTTTGATAGCTTCTGTGAGTTAATTTTTATTAATTCCGGGCTCAGGCATAATTGTGTTCATTGGCAAGAAACTAGAAATCACTTTTAGTGATTACCTTTGAAGCTAGAAAGGGTGGGAAACTAATCAAGATAAAAAGAACTCTATTACTGCCGCCAATCTGTTTATCACTGCAGTATGCATTATGGTATAGCTACCCGGTATCAGATCAGGGCTGCAAAAAGAGATAGCCACTAGATGGCAACAGGACAATACACAATATAAACTCTGCTACAATTTAGTGATCATTCACATCTTAGCTATAGTAGCTCTATTGTGCATTTTGTTTATATACTTATCATAAAGTATCAATACATACTTGCTTTCTGCTTCTTATTCATGGCCTTAAAAATTTATTGAATAAGTTTGCTTAAAGGTAAATTATATTCAAGGATGAAGAAGAAAAACCTACTTAAGTAGATTCTTATTCTGAGTCATCTACAACACTGAAAATGTAATTAGACTTTAAATAATATCTCTCAATTCCAAACTGACCAAGTGTTGCTGCTAAGGTCCTGGCTAAGTACCTGGAGGCTGTGTGGGCCTAGATAGGAAGAAAATGACTGACTTAATCCTTCCAAGACTGAGTGGTTTTAGATATTAGGGCCTCCTCCACCTTCCATCCATACTCTTGAATGGGCTAGCACATCTCCATTTGCAGCGTGTGCAATGGGGGGGGGGCTTCACATAGCTCAATCTAGTGCATGTTGTAACCTTTTAGATAGTCACTCATTTATCCCTGTGTCACCTCAAGGCTCAACTATTACAATGGGACTGCCTTTAAAAACCATCCAGAAATATTTGATACAGAATGTAGTGGTGTGAGCGATGAACATGTTTTAATATGTCATATGGTATCTCTGTTCCTCAGCTGCATTGGTTGCCAATCTGCTTCTGACTGCAATTCAAGGTGATTATTACCTGTAATGCCCTACATGACATAGGGCCATGAATCACCAATTTCTCATATATGGCAGTATATTTGGCACACACTGAGTCTCTTTGATTAATGTTGTTTACAGTATTGGAACCTGGGAAGTGTGCCTCCCCCATCATGACAACTGTCCTTTGGCATGCAATCTTTCAGAAATCTATGTGGCTCCCATCCTATTGATGTTCCCTAAGGACTTGAAGACTAGTTATTCTCTGCCTAATCCCTTATTGTTCAAAAACTAAACTTCAGAAAAGGTTTCTACCAATGTCCAATTTATTGATGAATACATGCAAGCTTTGTTGCATTAATACAATCAGCACACTCATTCTGACAAATTGTTCTGTCCAGAGATCACTGAAATAAAGACTTTTCTGTCTGTTTCCCCAAATCTTCTTCCCATCTCTCTCTGAACTATTGGAATATCCACTGATTAAATCTCCTGTTGCTAATTCCTTATCTTTTTTCTTCTTCCTTGCCTGTAACCCTTTTCCTCTTCTGAAATTACTTTTACCCTGAGATTGGGGATGTTCCTATTCAAGGCTCTTTTTCAACATAGGATATGTGAGAGATACAGCTTTGTCTAATATGCTGATTTGTCATATCTACAGCAATGCCAGGGGTTTCATTAATCAGAATAAGATTGAGGTCTTCATGACAATTTTAGCAGGTCTCTACTCCTTCATCTAGGCCTTGGAAAAAGATGATGTAATTATAAGAGCTGCAATACAAAATTAGTTTAATCTTATCTTCAAAATTGGATGGTTCAGAAAAATATGAACAGCTTTTGCATTAAGCCGTGGTGGCGCAGTGATTAGAATGCCGTGTACTGCAGCTACTTCTACCGGCTGCCAGCAGTTCAATTCTCACCGGCTCAGGGTTGACTCAGCCTTCCATCCTTCCGAGATCGGTAAAATGAGGGCCCAGGTTGTTGAAAGCAATATGCTGACTCTGTAAACTGCTTAAGAAAGGGCTGTAAAGCACTGTGAAGCGTTGTATAAGTCTAAGTGCTGTTGCTGATATATTCTAATTAGTTAATTTGTCACTATAAAGACATGTAAGTCTGGGACCTTCTATGATTAAGAATTCTGGGGTTGCAATTCAGATAATAATGGTTTTCTCAAAAAAATTATTTGCTCAATATACTTTTCTACTTCCATGGAGTAAAATGAGAATCCCATATTTTGAGAAATACAAGCTGAAACACTGGGAACGAAAACATGCCTTATTTTTAAAGTTGTTTTTTTAAATCTGTGGATAGCCCGATCAATGAGAAGAATGCATCACTGCATAAATTAAATCCAAACTTTAACAAAAATGCAAAGACTACACATTTGAGAGGTGTAAGATTAGAGATACCTAATATGCTATATTCTTATACTGTAGTTTTATTTTTCATACATTCATGATTTTTCTGTTAATAATTCCCACAACTGGAAATCTTTTAACTTTAAAAATTGCAAGGATGTCTTGCATGTGTGTATGCTTTTAACCATAAAGCTGTCAAGGAAAAAGTAACCTTTATTGCAATATTCTTCTGTTCAAAAGTGTACTGACACAATGCAACCTAAGGAGAATCACAAATCCATATGTACTTTGACATACTGCCTCATTGACTTAAATAGTATAGGCTTAGTTTTAGCTTGGATAAAAAACTAACTATAGCATGACTTTTTGATTTTGTTCTAACATTTGCCATGCACTGAAAATGACCCAAGGCATGATAGTTAAGAAGTTACATTGATTTCTTCCCCACCTAATCCAAAATCAGTAATCTTGGACATACTGTCACTTAGACAAATTAGTTCCCTTATGACTCCAAAGACTACAGTGTAGCAACTCAGTGGCGAAGAAAACAAGATGGGTGCACACAGAATTGTTCAATAATTCCAGCTGCTCCTGAAAAGGACATGATGAACCACACTGCCCCGAAAAGTTGTCTACTATCACAAAACTAACATGCATCCATACATAGCAAAGTTTGTCTTAATCACCTGCTGGTACATGTGGCAAAGTAATGGTTTTATATATGTAATACAATAAAGGCTCTTCTGTCCTTTAGTAGATGCTTCATTCATGGATTATAAATACTGACCAAATTAACAGGCTTTGTAGTTTAAGATGAATTAACTTCCAGAATATTTTTCTTGCCTGTGTTAGGCTACAGACTATGTTAAGTATTTGAAAGAAAGAGATATATTATATTTGATGTACATTGGGTTCATTAATACCATTTTTTCATTTTCATTTCCAGAAAGAGTCACTACATGCTATTAACAATCGCTGAAATGATTCCAAACCTAATCCTGATGTACCAACATGACCCAGGATATGGGCTAAGATCACTCCTCCTCCTACCTCATGCAACATCTGTACAAAAGCAGCTTAGCATGTTGAAAACAACACCTTATGTTTTTCTCTCTTTAATTTGTTTCCTCATTAAAAAGCATGAGGCAGCCCTTAAGTGATACTTTAAAAGTCACTGAAGTTGAGCTCAGGCAAACTGGTGGATAATTCACTGCTGATTTCTGTCTTCTCCAACATGCCACCAATTGCCTCTCCAGGGATATTCTCCAGTTTCAAACTTGGTAAAGAAACCTTGTTATCTAAAAGATACAACAAGTGTAATTAGCATATTACTATGAACCATTAAATAAGTTAAAACATTTCCAATAGGACCTTTTATTTATTTATTCATTTGAATGTATTAGCCACCTAATTAATTAGCCGCCCATTTCCTATGGGCTCCGGGTAGTAAACAACATTTAGTGGGTTTCCTTTTCCCCAAGTGATGCAAGTGGGGCATTTTAAAAGAGCTGCGGAAGAGCCTGTTAAATAATTAGTATCTCTTTGTAAAAAACAGGTTTATTTAGCTGACATCAAAGGGCATATATATGTGTGGCAAAATGAACTAGTGAAGTTGCAAAGTACTGGAAGCTTCTTGCATGAAGGAGTGCAACCAAATGTACAGAAGCTGGGAACTGCCCTTTAAAAAAAAAAAAAAAAGGTAAATTAGCTGGATTAGAACGGAGCAAAATCCAAATAAATTTAGGAAAAAAATTCTTCCAAATCCTGCTAATGAGAACGTTGAACAGCTTAACAAAAAGGTATTAATCTCTTGGAAGAGAATGTTAATCCTTCTATTCTCCCAAAATATTGTTTTTTTTTTTTTAATGTGATGAAATAAATAGGCCTTGAAGTTTCAAGAAGTGGAGAAAGGAAGGAAGGAAGGGAGGGAGGGAGGGAGGGAGGGGGAGAGAGAGAGAGAGAAGAAAGAAAAAGAAAAAAAGGAAGAAAGAAAGAAAGAAAGAGAAGAAAAGAAAAAAGGGAAAGAGGTATCTTTTTAGTATTGCCTCCCCCCCTCACCTCCCAGCAACATCATAGTTCAATATTTCAAAGCAAAGTAGTGCTTACCAGCAAGTTGTACAACTTCTGGTTCACTGAAAAGTTCATCTGAGCTGACATCTGTGAGACTGAACTCAGAGATGGAATCATCACTACTAAAGGAGAAGGACAAGTCTTCATGCAGTAATTCTTCATTCTTTTCTAGCAGACAAAACAATGAAAAGAGATTAGGGATCCAGCAGCAATTCATATCCACAAGCCCAATTTTCCAAACTAATATGAAAAAATAAAAATAGCTTGCTTTTCAATATAAAAGCAGACTAAACATTGGACTAATTGTGAAGTATTTATCTCATTGCTAAAAGAGGAATCTGATATATAAGCAGATAATTCTGGAAAACAGAGTCAAAATTAAATTATTTTCTGTCTTTAATTCACTGGGGACTAGGAAATTGCCCCAAACCTTTTCAGTCCCTCACTGAGCAAAAGAGAGATTACCATATCTATTCTCTAGCAACCACAAGGCTACATTATAGTAATTGCAACTATAGATCTATTAATTTAGCTTAATTTCTAAATAAAATAGGAAAGGACCCTTGTAGAGAGGGCCTTTGCATATCTGTCTCCATTGCCAGAGACACTCCTCTCTGGTACATTGAAGAAGGCTTCCTCCTGCATTATTTTCAGACTACTGAACAGTCCTTAGAACTTTCATTTTGCTCTCACTTCCTTCCTATTTAGAAAATATACACTGACACATCTCTTACACAGGCCACTGAACGGTTTTAGCATTAATTTTAATCTGTTTTAAATTTTATATATTATGCTTTTATTTTTAAAAACATTTGTCAATTTAAGTACTTTCCAGATTAGAAAAGTAAGCTATATATCAAATAAATTAATAGCTAAGTGGCAATCATGTTGTTTTGTTGACTGGTAAGAGTTCAGGTTATGTTTAAGGTAAATCCAAGCATTAGTGTCTAGCTTATGTCAGGTCATTTCCTTGATTATACGATTTTTTTTTTTTACACAAGACCACATGCATCTCTTCTAACCAGGTATAACCCTCATGTTAAGAGTACAGAGAAGAGAAACAAAGATGATCAGGAGACTGGAGGCTAAAACATATAAAGAATGGTTGCTGGAATTGGGTATGTCTAGTAGTTTAATGAAGAGAAGGATTAGGGATGGTATGATAGCAGTGTTCCAATATTTGAGGGGTTGCCACAAGGAATAGGGGGTCAACTTATTTTCCAGAGCACCTGAAGGCGGGACAAGAGGCAATGGATGGAAACTAATCAAGGAGAGAAGCAACCTAGAACTAAGAAGAAAATTCCTGACAGAACAATTAACCAGTAGAATGACTTGCCTCCAGAAGTTGTGGATGCTTCCAATACTGAAAGTTTTAAAGAAGAGATTGGACAGCCATTTGTCTGAAATAATATAGGGTTTCCTGCCTGAGCAGGGGGTTAGACTAGAAAACCTCCAAGGTCCCTTCCGACTCTGTTATTCTGTAATATTGTACAAACAAGCACTTACCCAGATCAGTGCCATCCTCCTTGGGATGCATAGTATACTTGTCTTCTAAGTTGAGACATTTCACCTGTTCTTTTAGATCAGTCACTGTAGATCTGATTAAAAGAAATAAAATCCATAGTAGTACTGGTTCCAAAGGAAGAAATACATGGAACCTAAAACAACCTTTAATTCAGGGCAGTTTTAAAGAATTCAAAGAGTTACAGTAGAAAAATATTAAAAAGTATTCTATAGTGCTTGTGGACAGAAAAATAACCTATTTGACAGATGGTGTTGTTAAAAGCAAAAGGCTCAAAATTGCAATAGGGAACAGAATAAAGGCAATTCATCTTACTAATCAATTTTCTCTGGATGGATCACTTTCCTGGAGTAGTCAGGCACTTTTATTGGTAAACTAATTATGTAAACAGCGAGCCTCCTGGTGCCAACTGCCTGCTAGTCCCTAACTTGACATTTCCCCCCTTCATTACATTGTCTTCTGAATGACAGCAACAGCTATCAGAATTTAACAACCATTTTCTCTCCAATCCTTCATGAAGCTCTAAACATGTTCATTAAAGCAGAGTTCCCCAACCTTTCTGGCTTTGCAGACCGGTGGGAGGGGAAGAGGGATGTTCCCCTTGCGTGCGTGTCCAGCAAGCGTGCACACTGCTCACGCAAATGGAGTGTGTGTGCACACGCTCACACGCTGCTTGCACAAGTGGGGATGAGTGGGTGCACTCGCCCAGTTGCAACAGCTCATGGTCCACTAGTGGGCCGCAGCCCAGAGGTTGGGGACCCCTGCACTAAGGCATACGAAGCACAATACAGAATGGCTTACTTGACAACACTGAGCTCCTGTTGAGTGTTCTGAGTTTCATTCCTTGTTTTGTCAAAATTCTGAACCTGAGTTTTATGAGTGTTTATTAATTCTTCCAACATCTGGAAAGAACATAAAAGTGTAGTTGTAAATATAATTTTTCAAGATGAACAAGAATGAATTAAAAGGGTATTTTTTTCTTATAGGTAGACGATTCCCCGTTTACTCATCTATATAATTAGGAAAAAATATATAAGTACACAGAAAACAAATTGGCAAATTTATATTCACACTCTTTTAGCCAACATTGTAACTAAATTCCATCCTTAAGAGGAAGCTAAAAGGGCGACTGCCGTGATATTACATTATGCTCATATAATTGGAAAAATACAATGTATTGATGGCTGCATATGCTCATTCCCAGCATAATACTGTCCTGGTATAATCTGTTTTCCTTATTCCACCCTATTTTTGCACGCAGACATTCCTGACAATGCTAGAAGGAAAAAAAAAACCAACCAAACTAGCAGCAGCTTTGTGTAACCCCTCCTCCCAAATTATAGAAAACTATTTTAAGGAAGAAAGAATGCTTGGGCAAATGAGTCATGAATGGATGATTAATTTTTCCATTTAATTCTTAGATTTAGCTAGTAACTACACTGTGATCCTCAACAGTCACTTCCATTTTTTTGTCTACTATAGATAAGCTTCATTAGAAAGACTGAATTCACTTTTTATCTGGGGGTAGCACTGTTAGCATTAAATCACTGAGCAGCAATAGAGAGATTATAGTTGTACCTTACAGTACCGGTTTTGGATTCTCTTAATCTCATGAGTTGCAGAAACTTGATTGTATAGTTCATCTTCTTGGCAATCTAAAGCATAAAATATACAATTTTTTAAGCTGCATATCTCTTTCCCTCTTCTTCAATAGGGCCACCAATAAGTGGTCCTTTGCCTGATGCGGAAGAAAGCTATGGGTACAGGAACCTCAAGCTTTACTTGCCAAGTTTATGTTTCAGCTGTTCTATCTCTCTCTTGATGCACTCGTATTCTTGCCATAGGATTTTTTTACTGGAATAAGAAGAAAAGTAGGAATATCAGCTATAAGACAAGGACTAGTTCTCTGAATTAACTACAAGCTCCCTTAGAAAATGAACTCTAGTTTTAAATTATTAACAGAATTTGAGAAGTAGCAAATAGGCTCTCTGTAATTTTGATGCACCGAAAGATAGTAAATTACCCAGCTGCTTTTTATGGGCTAGAAATGTCTGGGACAGACAAATTCACGCATTCCTAATTACAATAAGCCATCCCATTAATATTATTTATTACAAGCAAATCACTGTTAAAATTATCGTTCAGAAAGAAAAAAGTATTCTTTCTAATCCAACAGTTTCATGGTATATTCAAGCTTCTGAAAATGCTCTTACAAGTCTTAACAACATATAGGAATGCCTGTTAATTCAGTAAGCATATCTTCTAGATGATAGCAGAAAAGTATAGCTGTTGTTCCCTACCACAGTAGCTTGCCAAGTTATTTATGCTAGTTAATTCAAATGGCTGACCTCTCCAGCATATCTTGCATGACGCCAGAACAGGAAAACAGATCAGGAGTACAATCCCCATCTGACTGATGAAGCACCTGTTGCTGAACGCTGCGGAACTCACTCTTCATTCCTTTCATGCTGCATCCCAGCAACGATTCAAAGCCACCAGGCGAATTATGCTGTAGGCGATCCATTTCATCTGTATAAATAACCAGGATAGGAAAAATAAAATTAGCTTATGCCATGCATTGTAGCTGCTAGAACAGACAACAATACTTGGCTTTAGTGTCATTTATTATTAGTGTTAAGTATTCCAATGGAGACTGATTTATCCCCATTTCAATAACAAATTGAAAATAATCTCCAAAATCTACTTGTAAGAAAAACAAACAGGGTAGTAAAAATAAGGCATTTTTTTTGATAGCTTAGGACAGTGATGGCGAACCTTTTAGAGACCGAGTACCCAAACTGCAACCCAAAACCCACTTATGCATCGTTGGGTGCCGGGTGGGTGTGGCCCACTGGGTGGGCATGGCTGCGGTGGTAACAGCAGACTGGGTGGGACTAAAAAGTTCAATTAATCAATTCCAACTTTGCAAGATCTTTTTTTCCCCATGAGAAGTTGAAATTGACTGATTGATTGAACTTTTTTTTTTTTTTGCACACAGCGGCGGAGGCCTAAAGCGAAAAGGTTTTTATAAAACCCAGCTGAAGGCCTAGGACTTGGGTGACGGCACGTGTGCCCACAGAGAGGGCTCTGAGTGCCGGCTCTGGCACCCGTGCCATAGGTTCGCCACCACTGGCTTAGGATATAGGTACCATTCTCCATAGCCATTGATTTTCACCATGGAATATATTATGCACTTATACATGTCTACAGGTTTCACTGTCACAAAATAAGTGGATTTACAAAAAAAAAAAAAAGGTATCCAAGGCATTTAATAATACAAACAAAAGCTTATATACTTCTCTTGCCAGTGAGGCGTTCATATTCAGTACATGATCAGAAAGAACTGAGAAAAGCTACTATACTCCAACCACTTTTGTTTTTATTTTAGTTTTAACTCAAGTTTCTATGAAGTGTGGGATATAACAGGAATAAATACTGATCATTCTGAATTTTGCTAAAACTCGCCCATTCAATATCAGTCAGCTCTTTTTAATTTCCATTATTTCTTCTAATAATGGGCTGAAATGATACCAAACCCATCCTGTGTTTCTGAATTCAGGGTATAGAAATTGAGGCATTTTTTTCCATTTTTAATTATGGCAGGTTCTGATATTTCAACAAAGGTACCATAAACTGTAAATACTAAATTTATCAGGGCAGGGGAAGCAGAATTACTTCACAGGTTTTTTGGGATTAGAGAATCTGTTTGGAAAATTCAAAGGAATATGTCAGCTTTGTTTTGATAACGCATGTTTATATCTGAAGATGGGAAAACTTTCAAGCCACTGAATTGTTATTTACTTTATAAGCTCAAGTGAATTAGGACAAGGTTACGTAGATAATGTCTTCCTACCAGAATCTGCTCCAATATCTGCTTCACACCTTCTTTTTTTGTATTTTCCCAAGAGATTAATTAAGTGTGAGTGGAATGTACCAAGACCACAATTCTATAGCTAGCCTCTAATCTTAAAGGACTATCTTTGAATTGTGCTTTTTTAAATATGATCAAATTAGAAATTTTGGGAAGAAGTGTATTAACATTTAATATAAATTTAATTTAAATCCAGGATAGGCCAGGCCCTGCCCACTTTGGGGAGATCAGTCTCCAGCATACCCCTCAATTAACAAATGTGGCCTCACTTTTAAAAAAGGCCACAAATCCCCATGCTGGCTATAGAATTCAATTTTGTGAGAAACCCTCTTTTATCACCTGCCTGAGGGCTTTCTCCTAGTTTGCAAGGCCTCTCTTCTGATAAATATTTTGCCTGCCAATTTTGCCAATATTTTAAATTGCTATTTAAATACTTGGTATTCAAGTTTTTAATCTACTCTCTTTAAAACTAAGAGAGTGAACCTCTTTCGTGAACTGCTTTAAATCATTCTTAATCACCCAAATATTTAAATAGAAAAGGGAATAAGATAAAAAAATCATGCTTCTTTAATTTTCTGAAGACAAGTTTTGTCTCAAAGATAGACCTCACCGTAAATGGTGGGGAAAGGTTTTGGAAAAAGAACTGCTAATCTTTCATACCTTCTAGGTGATTGATACTCTGCTGCTGCTGCTCTTTCTCTTGTTTAAGCCGACATACTGCTTGGGTGAGTGACTCTATAATCTAAAAAGGCAGAAAGGAGAACCAGAGCCATAGAATCAGTAAACATCTCCTAATTACATGTTCTGAAAACTTCCCAAAACGAATGAGGCTTGAAAAAGCACCTAAAATATTAGAATTCTTTTTTTAAAAAACAAACAAACAAATTTTATTGGTTTTTTTAACTTTTACAATGAGGTGCTCTAGAAGCATTGTGGTGATGGGGTAATCAATCATCAAAAAAAAGTCATATATGTATAACTCAAATTAATACATTGAATGTTCCCTGTTTCCCTCAACTACTATAACATATTTAAAATAGTCCATTTCTAGATTACATTTATATAAATCTAAATCCTGTTTTTAAGCTTTACTACTTTACAATTACCGTAATCTAATTTAATCTTAAATAAACATATTATTAGCACTTCGGGTACCCCTTCTAAAATACATATTCCAACAATAACATTCAAATATTTCCAGATGTATTCTAATTCTTAATCTAATAGATCATTAATTTTATCATAAGTCTCTTATTTCTTCTTCCACTACATAATAATCCTAGTTAAGATAAAAACATTACTCTACTCTATGTATATATAGTCTATCATTCAATCTATTTCTATAACAAAACAAAACACAAAATCTTTTCAGTCCATTAAGTAAGATTTAACTCTCATCCAAATAATTATATCTAAAAGACACATATTATTACACAAAATATCATCTTACTAACTTGACATACTCAATTAATTGTTAAATCAGTCCAAATCTCTAAAACCTCTTCCATTTTCTTGTTCTGTTCCATTACAAAATAGTTTTCATAGATAAAATAAACATCTTATTTCAGAAAATTTTCCTCTCACTTCTAATTTTAAATCTTAAACCTTAGATGAATCCGTGTCTACAAAACCTTTTTGACCCATTACATGTAGTTTTAAGTCTCTTTTTTTCAGTCTTATTCTGGCTTTCTTTTTGTGCCAAGCCAGTTTCCATAACAGAGCCTCTATTTCAGCAGATAGATCTCCCTTTATTCCTTGTGATGTCATTTGGGTCAATGGAAGATATCCCATCCTCTGTTTTAAAAGTCTGACTCCTTTGTAGTTAGACTCTTGTTGCTTTAGAAGTTCAAGTCTCAATGTTTGGTTCAGTTGAGTTAAACAATCAGTTGTATCCAGTTTTATGGTTAATTGTTGGTTATCAAAGTTATCATTGTTCTCAATAAGTCGTATTTGTAGATCAATTCCTGTTGTTTTTGGAGTTGTGTATAGTTTAATTAAGGTTACCTTTTGGTCCTCAGAAGTCTCAATAGGATGCTTATGAGGTAATATAGATTCCTCTTTAATGTAAGTTAATTCCTCTTCTGGTATATTTTGGCCTATAGAATAGTCAATTGAAGTCTGAAAGTCAATTTGAAGGTTTGTAGTGAGGTTTCTGACTCTTATTTCTGTAGTAATCTCTTTTATTTTAACGCATACTTGCTCAGTGGCTTCATGAATTTTTTCCAATATAAGTTTACAGTTTAATTGTAAATAGGCTTTCTCCATTTCAATAATAGTTAGAAGCAGTCCTTTATCTTTCAGGGAGGCTGTATTTAATCAGGGTTAACCAATGTCCATCCTCACAGTTTCTAACAGCTGCAGACTTCTTAATTTTTTCCCTTTTACAATAGTTTGAAGGTCAGACCAACCTCATCTCCAAACAGATGCAGGCAATTGCAGTATTTAAGTTTCACTACAAGATGTCCTCAATGGGTTACAGACTCTTTCCCAGACACCAATAAAATGAGTTTTTTTTATATATATAGAAAAAAGCTCTATAAAAGGGTTTTTTCGGAATCCCAATTAGAAGTAAAATAAAGGCATTAAAGTTAATTATTCTGTCCTTTTATTCGGTGCTTTTCTTCCCATGCAGACAAATGCTGTTCTCTTAGGGCAGGGGAATAGTTCCAAGAGGGCTTTTTACAGGCAAAAAGAAAAAATAGGGTGAAGAGAGGAGAAGGAAGGGTCTCACCCAGATCATCTGCAGTTGTTCTTAACGCTTAGATGTTCTTGACTTTCGGCTGGTGCAGCTAGATGATCGGCCATCTTGCAGGACGATCTTTGCTCCGTTGGCCCTAAGGAATCAGCTGGAGCCGCAGGAGAAGCTGCTGCCCTCCCACAGTCACCAGCAAGCCTCCTCATCAGTGGTCGCCCCTCCAGGGCGACTTTCAACCCCCTTCGGGGTCTACCGGCAAAGGAAAATCAGCCGGTGAAGAGATGAATCTCTTCGAACGACCACAGTTGCCGCAAACCAGAAGTTAAATTCTGATATTTATAATTTCCCTCCTCTGCATCTCCTTTCCACTTTGAACTTAATTCTTCCTTTCATGGCTACCATTCATAGGCTCTCCCTCTATCCTCTTCTAAATATGGCCTTTTTGGTGAGCTAAACTAAGGGAATAATTGGACCAATCTGAACAATTGCCTGGTTCGTACATAACATTAAGACAGTTTTTATGCAGGTGCAAACAAGACTCCTACGTTGTAAGGCATTTCAAACTAGCTACATTTTCTTCTATGCCTATTCCATAGGAAACTTCCCAGACTGGTAGCTTTCACGTGGGAAAGACTAGATAAGGTTCAGAGCATTCAGGGAGGCAGGGGGTCAGACCTTGCCCTGTTGTGTTTACATGATGAATCCAAACTAATTACCCGATTGGGATGGTTGCTCTCCAACATTTTCAAAAGCATAATCTATTAATAAGCCATAATATTTTGGCCCAAGAGAATGTTAAGCTATGATAACTGGATTCACACATTGTACCCAAACAATGTGGATGCAAATTTACTTGGCTCAAAATGCTACTTTCATATGAATGTCAACATATCCAAAATAGGTCACTGTAACACTAAAAGAATCCAATTCCAGAGGAGGTAAACATTTTTATGCTGCAAAGAGGTGCTTTAATCTCTACAAAGCTTAAAGCTTCCATCTGAATCTTAAAATTTCCCCATCCACTCTTAAAAATGGGTTGGAATTTTGACTCTGCCTACTCTAGAGGATTTCTGGATGCTATAAAAGTGGTGGATTGTATAAGCCATACATTTTGCTTTCTGCACTGTACTGAGAACATAAACTATGTTATAACTTAGCATTATGTATGAATAAGACTAATAACATTAAAGACTGGTTTGGAGGCCAGAGCTATCCTTTTTGAGCACAATTACTCAACTGTTTTAAAGCATATGACACTTCACGTTTTGGTGAATTGTTTTAATTGATTACTTATTTATGTCTGCCCGATAGAAAAGAACTATGTAGTGATGCAGTATAAGTTACCTGGGCTTGTGAATGTAGTTGCTGGCTGATAGTTGAAAGCTCCTCATTGGCCATTCTACAGCATAGGTGAGTTCCACATGTGAAATGCAAGGGTGGTAGTCCAGTCTGTGGCTGAGTCAGAACAGTACTCCCAATATTTATTCTGCCCACTAACAAATCAGTTGTAGGGGTGGAAAATAATTAATTAGACTAAGCTTAATTAGACTAAGCAAACATGGAAGCAATACTGTTATTTTATTTGTTCTAAGTGCTAAATATAAATTCCAGTTACATTAATGATAAATAATTTTGTTCCTTTCAACTTCCTTTGTTTTAACTATTCCATAAGCAGGTAACTGGATCTGTTGAGATATTGATCATTATCTAAAATGTAATGCATAAAAAGTCAGAATGTTTATATTTTATTCTAAACTTTCTATTTCAGTCAGCTTCAGGGTTCAAATTTAGACACAGAAATTGTTTTTTAGTCCTCATCATTCTCTTTTAAAATTCATTTTAGCTTTTTAGTGTTTCTCAGTTATTATTTCTATTTAAAAAACCCTTTTTTATCTACTGAGTAGATAAAAATCTTTACTCGGGCCCTTTCTTCTGTCTTTATCTTTCAGTTCTCTTGATGGTTATCCTTTTATTATATATATTCAACTTATTATCTCCAGATTTAAGTCTCTCAAATCATCCCATTATTTGTATTTTTCCTTATCCATGTTGCAGCTTACTCAAGGCTGTTTAAACATGGAAGTATTTCCTTTTAAGTATTCAGTTGGTCTCTTTATCTCATCTAAAAAAATGAAGATTTATATTTTTTTCTCATTCTTCCCCAAACCCCAGTATCCATTTTATAGTTACTCTTCTCTACTTGTAGGTTAATTATTCTTTCTTTCTTCTCTTTAATCGTATCTGATTTTCAGAGACTACCTAGACAAATTCTTTCAATTTTTTTGGCAAAATTTTTCAGAAATGGTTTACCATTGTCTTCTTCCTATGGATGAGAGAAAGTAACTAGCCCAAGGTCACCCAACTGGCTTTGTGCATAAGGTAGGACTAGAACTCACAGTCTCCCATTTGTAATCTGATGCTTTAACCACTATACCAAACTGGCTCCCTAGGTTTAATTATAGTAACTTTTAATTGATTATTCTTCACTAACTCCTTTCTAGCTAACTTATTTCCTTTAGCCTCACGTTGTTTTGTTAAGATTGTGGGAGAAAAAAATGTTCTAACTTGGTTGGTTAGTAACCAATAACCTGGAAATTTGATTAAATTTCAGTTTTAGAAACAAAGCCTCAAATTAAAAAAGGAAGAAAAGCAAAATGGGGTAAATAGCATTAACACTGATTTAGATTTAGTAAACATTAAAAATTATCTGACTAAATCAGACCAAGTTCTGCCTGAAAGATAAAGAACCTATGTTTCCAGATGATGCCATACTGTACTTCAATACTTTCCTTACATAGCTGCCTATTCAGCTTCTAACACACCAGTCCCTATAATGGTATTAAAGCAGGGCACCTAAATCATAGCCATTTTTTGTTTGCTTAAAAAATATAATTTCTTGAAGTATATCCTCTGAAGAAAGCTACCAGAATTCTAGCAGGAGTTTTTTTTTCTCCCTTGCTGAAAACCTTTTGCAATGAAGAAATTACACAAATCTCTAAGAAGTGTTCTGAAAATATACAGAACATGTCAATCACTTTTACCTTTGGAAGAGATGCTGTCTGTGTTTAGATGTTGCTGCAAAAGAGAAAGAAACAAAATGATTAGAAAGTTATCAAGTATTTCAAAACACAATTTGGAAACAATTATGAAACAAAAATGCAACTTCAAATTGGTATCAAATCTGAGTCAATAAGTTTTGTAAAAACTTTTGAACAAAAAGTATTAGAATGTTTTCATTTATTATATCACTTTAATTGGCATGCAATTGGAGAAAATGTATTCAATATAACATAAGCCAAAATAATATTTATTTGCAACTTCAAATAAACATTCTTTCCTCATAAAAAGAATTCAAAATTGTTTCATAACCACTATCTCAATATATAAAATAATGCTGAACATATCAAATCAACATTAAACATAATTAAAATAGTTAATTCAAGCCTATAAATGAATGGTTTAACAGTAGGAAAATACACAATAGGACCAATCTGAATGAAATCAATGTTTTATTTATTTATCCACATCAGTCAGAAAGTCAATGAACAGCATTATTATATAACCATTTTTTACTTCATCAAGGTGCTTTACACTACATTCAATATAAAATATGCAACACTACTAATGCAAGGCAAAGAAACATTACAACAATAGCAGCCTCAGGTCCACTGTCCATGTTCTTAAGGTTTTTATAATAAACATTTTGCAAACAAGGTAGTCTCTTTGTACCTCAGGGGCAAGGTGTTTCATAATTCTAAACTTCTGCAGAGTATATTTTTTTCCTGGAGACTAGATGTAAGCAGATATAGGGGTGGTTGGTAAATCCCTAACTATATGAACATGTATAAGGGATGAAGATTTCTGAGATAACTCAGACCAAACTACACTATCAACTCCCCAGCACTTTTTCATACCACTGATGACAGCTGCAATACAGCAAACATTTGGAGGGCTGCATGTTCCCCATCTGTTCTACTAAACAAGGCCTGTAGCTTAAGTTAAATCATGATACATCTCTAGGAGTCTACATAATTAATTCAATACAAATCTAATGGGAACAAGTCAGAAAGAGATATTCAACACTTGTTACATTTTCCATTACCAATGTAAAGGTCAGTGTTCTGTCCAAAATATTGTCATGTTGCTCTACTGTTTGAACTGAGCATTAAAATACTGGTCTCTTTAGTCAATACTGAAATATTTAAATATGACCTCAATGCAGATGGCAGCATGTAGCTGAACAAGCAGGAATGGTGCTATCAAGTACTTGGATGGGAAACTATCACAAAATATATGCTGTGAACTTTCCAGGCTAGTGCTTGGAAAGTTGAAAAAACACCCTATAAGAAACAATTAAAAACAACTTATGTACTGTTGTTAACAAACTGCACATACATGTCCCTACAAAGTCACCAGGAGTCAAGCCTCAATTAAACACTTTATCCTTTCCCCTTTTATTTTGGCATTTATTATAACTTGTTCACTTGCCTGGTAGCTGCTATTTAACAACGCTGAAAAGCTTGGTGGTCAGAAGTTACAATATTAAAGACAGTGGGTTGGGTTGGGTTTTTGGGGGAAAAACTATCAACATCTTTTCACTTAACAGAATACATCTCTTAAGGTGTTTTTGTATCTACATATTTAGGATATGTTTAGCATATGTGAGTGCATACAAACAGGATACTCAAGCACTAAATATTTTTCACCAACAGAGTAGAAAAACAATATATTGCTCTGCAGCTTAACTTGCCTTAATTTTGGCCATGTTGCTGTCTGTTTCAACCAATATAGAACTGAGCCGTGTGTCCCAATCCATGCTGTTGAGGAAAAAGATGCCTTTTAGAAATCCACTGGTTACCAGTTTGTAACCTTGGGAATATCTTTGGCTAGAAAAAGAGTATCTGCAAAAGCAGTCAGAAAAAATGTTTATTTTCTGCTGTTATCTTCACAAAAATATATTGTAGCACAAAAATAATGTCATCACAAAATGAGGACTTGAAACTGCAGGTCATTTTGTATAAAATCCACTGCAAATTTTCTGCAAAGCAGCTGAAGCATACCCAATATAGAAAATACCATTAAAAGAGTATAAACATATACTCTCCAGAATTTTTTTCAAGGTCCCAAAATAGATGGAGAATGGGAACTATGCAAAATATTTGTAATATGTGAGAAGTATCTCTTTAATGTTCAATGGATGAAAACAGTTTTAAAATATTAATACTGATGTACAAACTGAACAGCATAACCAGGTATTAAGAAAATGTTAGTATGTGATGATGCATTTCAATAAAATGGACTGAAATACTACCGTGCCATTTTCATGCTGGGAAAGGGACTCACAACATTCTTTAAATCATCAGACCCAGATTTTAAATTGCATGCTTCAGAACAATCTTTTTTATCAAAAGATAAAACCAGGTGGATTCCTTTTCTAAGAGCAACTGGGTAACGCTACCTCTTTTTACCTGCAGGAAAAATTAAAGTTGCTTATAGTGGGGAATAAATTCTTTTTTGAGTACTTTACACCACACAATAAAGACATTCTTATGACAGGGAACACCAGAACCCAGCTTTCAATAATACTAGTTGGTTGAGTTCACAAAACTATTTCTGGGACTGCCCTGTACTGGCGTCTTACCAGCAGGCTTGTATGCAGAGGTTTATTCAATGAGTATTTTCCTGATAAGGTGCAACCATAAAAGAAGAAACCTTATTTTCCAAACGTCAATTGGAAGGGAGGGAAGAGAGCTACATCAAAAGAGGAAATGAGAAAGATTGTCAAAAAGGAAAAGAAAAAACCGAGGACTGCAGGAGATGCTTATTTCTCGGTTCTTCCCACGTGATGGTCTGGAGAATCCTCTTGCCTGGGGCTGGGAGACCAGACAGAGAGGACAAGCTGAGAACATACAGGAAAGAAGCAACCATCCTTTGTCTACCCTTCCCGCCACCGTGTTGACTCCACCTGCTTTTCCCCTCTAAACCAATAGCGCCAGGGAAGAAGTGCGGAGCCCGCAGCCATTGTACCAGTAAGTAAATCTAAATGGATGACGAGCGATACGGTTCCCCACCCTTCCCTCCGAATTCCTTCAAAGCCGGCCGCCTTTGAGGAAATTGCATCCACCGAGTCTCCTAAGAAACTACCCAGTTGAGCTGTCTCAGGCTGAGTCAGTGACCCAGGCCAGTCGCGCTTCCGAAAGCACTTGGGGAAGGGCTCCTTCACCAATAACCTCGCTCACCCTCGGCTGTTGCACCCAGCCAACGGAAGAAAAGCGGCCGTCCGGGGAGAGTCGGAACTGGCCTCGGAGACTTTTAGGCGACGACCCAAGCAGGAGGCAGCGGCCGCTCCGCTCCGCCAAAACTCAGGGCGATTCTGCTCACGTTCGCTCGAGGACCGCCAGCAAGCGAAGAGCGGAAAAAACAACAACAGCAACCGTAAAGTCCTCGCCCGGGCCCTCTTGGGGCCTTGCTCTCGGCGGGAAATCGACCACGTCCTCCGCAGACTGCAAAGAGCCCGAGGTTGGCAGATTCCGCCTTCCGCTACGCCGCGAAGGCTTCTGGACGGGAAAATCCGGGCGTCCCGTTGATTACTCTGAGCAGGGATGTTACTGGCAGAGCCGTAATCGGGGATGTCCAGGGGATACCGAAGAAGTTTCTCGCCGTAGCTACTCGCGGGATACTCGGAAGAAGGACAGAGGGGGCATCGCCGGCAGTCGCCCCCCCCCACGTCCCCCGGATCTTTTACACCTCTCGCCGCGCCGGGAATGTGGGCGAGAACCTTTCGTGCGTCTCGAAAACTACATTTCCCATAGGGCCTTGCGTTTGAGCACCATGGAGTTACATGTGGTCCATCTGGAGAGAAAGATCCGGGATCTCCTGGAAAATCTGGGTTTTGAGATTTATCCGTTTAAGGTACGGCGTGCACGTTAGGGGCGAGAGCGCTCAGTTAAGGAGGGAGATGAATATATATATACTTTTTATTGTGCTGTACTGTCAGGCAGAAAGGCGCAAGTTGTGGCTCACAAGATATGTATTAGTCGGAAAAGGTGCTACCAGGCTTCTGATTTTTTTGCTTGTAGAGTAGACCAATTTTTTTGTAGATCAATACCGCTCTCCAACTATAGTATTTAGAGAGTTTCCTTGACGTAATGCAGTGCTTATAATATTAAGGAATAACTCTGTGTGTATGTGTGTGTGTGTGTGAAAGAGAGGAAGGCGATTACTGATTTACTATTTTTTGGATTTTCCTATGCATTGGACATATTTTAATTACACATATTGGAATTCACATGTGATATAATTGACAGGCAATCTTTTAATATTCGTAATAACAATATATGAGGCATCAGAAAGTTTTGCTGCAGCATAATTTTGCAGTTTTTAGGTAAGTTACAGGTAGTCCTCAAACTCCAACCACAATTGAGCCCAAAATTTCAATTACTAAGGGAGACAGTTAAGTGATTTCCCCCCATTTTATGACCTTTCTTGCCACAGTTGTTAAGTGAATCACTGCAGATGTTAAGTTAGTAACATGGTTGTTAAATGAATCTGGCTTCCAAAAGCATTTGGGGAAGGTGCTTTCAGAATAACTTTCTGAAGTACTATCACACTTGTGGCATTAAAAGGAAGTACAATTGATAGGTATAAAACAGGAGATAGGGCCAATAATAGCTTATATGGAAATGAATATCAAGTAGCATTGTCTTGCAAGTTAAATATTTATGCTGAGGAGGTAAATCATTTGCATAGATGCAGGTCCTACCTGTAACCTGCAGTGGTTAGAATGCAGTATTGCAGGCTAATTCTGCCCACAGTCTGGAGTTCAATTCTGACAGGACTCAAGGTTGACTCAGCCTTTCATCCTGCCGAGGTTACTAAAATGAGGGCCCAAATTATTGGGGGCAATATGCTGACATTGCAAACTGCCCAAGGAGTGTTGTAAAGCACTATGGAGCAGTATTATATGTCTAAGTGTTATTGCTATTAATTGAATAATTTGGGCAGTCAAAAGAAAATTGTATATACAGTAATCTCGACACAGTAAATTGCTGTTTCTAATTGTTTCTTCTAACATTTGAAGAGCTGAAAGACTTAGAGATATTCCTATTTCTGGTTTAAAAGGGAAGTATTTTATTTGTATTTTTCTAACAAGTCAAATAGATATTTTTCCAATCAAGTTGATTATAAGCTACCAAATATGAGAAATTCTTCACCAAATTATTAGGGTATCCAACATGTCAGATAAATAAATTGTGTCAAATGCCATTTTTAAAATAGTGCATACAATAGGAATGTGATGCCAGTTCTGTAGAATTTCTGTTTTAAAATCAGCAAAGTAACCCTATTGTCTTGCCACAAAGTTGCCAGCCAGTGATAATATGAAGTAATTATATTACAGTTTGACTTAGCCAAACCAAAACAATAAATACCAGTGCAAATGCTAGGGCATGGAGTATAGAAATCCTACGTGACTAGGCTTTATTCTATTAATGTACAGAATGTCAACCATACACACAGTCATAATGTTCTATATAACAATGTTTTTTTTTAATGAGGCCATCAAAATGCGAAGCAGTAGTGCTCCCTGTAAACAGGTTTAAATTCTTTTACAGAAGCTGACTTGTCACTGAATCATGAGCTAGCCATAAAAATATGCAACACATTAACTCCTATTTAACTGAACCAAGGGTTCCTGAATTAATACAGATGTCTGCACTTTTTGTAGATAATCATATATTTGACGATGCACATAGAGGCCTGGCATCTCTGAATTCAGTTTCATCAAGGTAGCATAAGGGAGGATTAGATTGCAATTAAAAGAAGCATATTACTCTTCTAGGAGCCAATGCTAATATTTTTATTGAATGGTACACTAGGAAAGAACAGGCAATGCAAGCTTGAATATGGAACGAATAAAAGTCAAAGGTAACAAATCTGAATAAAGTCATACCTGGGCAGAAATAATTATTTTAGAGGCAAAAAAAAGGCAGAGGTAAAAAAAAAAAAGGGCAGGTCCTTCCTGCACATATGATGGAGGAAGGTTGTAGAAAGGAAAATACAAAATGGGCATATCATGGCATAGGTCCAAATGTAGATGCTAAACTATGATTGTATAAAGTGGTGATTTGTCATTAAACAAGAGAACATTTAACACTCATCTGTTGTTCATTGTCAGTTCACAGTGTACTATATTGTGGTTTGTTAAATAAGACACAATAGCTAGATTCACGTACAGTAACTCCCAAATCTGTGATTTGCAAACTTAATGTGACATGTTCAGTCAAAAATAAATACATTATATTATGAATTAGTGCAATTTATAAACCCAACCTTGACTTCTTGCATCATTTGAATAATCTCTTACAACTTTTCTTTATTCAAATGTATGCTGACTCTCCTTGATTTCTTGGGCATACCAGTTCTTGCCTCAGCAGAATATATCTTTATGGTTTTTCTCTGGTACCAGATTGCATGGTCCATCACAGAAGTAGTAATAGGAATTAACATTCTTTTTCTCATTTCAAGGGCTGAGTTGAGTCCTTGTAACAGGAAGTCTTTTGAGCTTCCATTTAGAGTTCAAGACTTGCATATATTAGAACTATATGATGGTAGATAGGATCCCATCAACTAACACAGACTGACAATGATCAATTGCTAAATACAAGCTTTTATTGAACAGTTTCAAAATCAGTTTGTAGAACTAGCACCCATTAATAGGCTTGCCCTCCTTTTTTAATTGTAATTGATTGTGGAGGACTTTGCAAATGTGCAAGAGTCCTGATGGGTCAAAAAGGATGGCAACCCCAGTGAAGAATAGCTGGAATCATAATGGTCAGGATTTCAGCTTGAACTGTAGTCCATACATATTGCACACAGTAACCTCACCTCAGCACCTATTAGACAGTCAAGAAAGACAAAGCAGTGACTAACATTTAGTTAAGTGATAGCAATAGGTACTATAGCTCCTAGTGCTTGATCAGAGCTCGAAAGCCTTGGGTTTATGCAGCCTCTAGCATTCAGAGTGATTTCCAGAGTTTCTACAAGCCATGCCACTGAAAATTATCATCAAAATATCTATTCTGGAAAGCTTTCATCTCTTCATTTCTTTAGCTAAAATAAAAAAGGAGACGGCTTCATTATGCTCTTTTCTCCTGATGCTGTTCTCTTGAACTACACTGGAGGGATGAGCCTCCACCCACTCAGAAAATTTTGTTTTTTTCTTACAGGGCAGACAAGGAAAAGAAGATTGCTTCCCCAAGACCTAGTTGCACAATAGATGTTTATCAACAAGTGATTGATGTATAGTAATGTGTAGTATAATCACAGAAAGGAACTTACCCTTTCACTTTAAGCCGAATTGTGATAATAATATTTGTAACATTCCACGTATCCATCTGTGATGCTGGAAAGCAAAAACATACGTGTTTGGCTAGCAGTAGCACACTTTGGTTCAGCATGTTATGTGAATCATACTGCAGTGGTTTCAAAATCAGAGTTTATGACTTAATGTGTTATACAAAACTTAGGCAAGTGAGGTTTAGTGAGTAAACCATTGGCAAGGAAACTAAGGCTTGGCAAATGTGAATTATGCCACTCTATCCCCCACTCTGGGAAACACTGCTAGCTGCTTTGAGGGTTTACTCAAAGTATAGCTTCCATTGATTGCAAGGCCTGGGGGAAAATGAGAGGGTTATCCAAAACAAAGATGGCCTTCCCTTTCCTAAGCTATCTGTATAGTAGCTTTTTCCTTATATCTTCAGCTGAAAAATCCTGTCCAAGTGTTTGTGGAATCCTAATGCAAGGAATCTATGGTAGAACATGGTTTCTGGAAAAAAAGTATTGTAATTTGCTCTATTCTCTTGGTCATAATGTTTGTACAAGATCTTCCATTATGAGCAATATTTTCATAATAATAATTTACTTTGCCCAGTTGCATGGCAGTAAATTATAAGATAGTACCATAGCATAGGTTTGGATGAGTAAAACCTGTCAGACTAAAATGTCATTAGCTATTTTGCAGCTAAGTCATGCAAATAAGCGTACAACTTTTTTTCTGAGGTTGTTGTTTTAAGCATGTGAAACAAAAGGAAAGGGGATAAAACTCTATTCAGTTGAGTAAGGGGGCTTCATGGCAAAAGTTTATGTGATGGTATGGTTGGATTAAAATTAGCCCAAATTTTATATTCTGGCAGTGCAGACACAGGAAGAAGGAATGAGCAAGTCATTATGATCAATGCACTACCCCCATGATCACTTGAACACAGTTCTGGTGCTTGGCAGCTGGCTTGCATTTATGACTAATTGCAGCATCCTGTTGTCACATGATCATGATTTGCAATCTTTTTTGCCAACTTCCAGCAAAAAATGAGGGAGCTGGAGTCACTTGATTCTGTGATTTGCTCAATGACTGTGATTTGCTTAAGAACTGTTGTTAAAATTGTTATAACATCAGGTCCAACTTGACTTACAACCATGATGACACATGACAGGAATTCTGGTCCCAATTGTGCTTGTAAATCGAGGACTACTGTTATGATTTATTGAACACAAACTAGCTGAATGTGTTATGTCAACCCCAGCCCATGTAGCCAGTTTATAGTTTGCTGTGTGCTTATCTAACATGCTTATCCATGGTTAATTAATTTATGCTCAGTTATAAACTAGCCAACTAGTCAATCATACCAGGGTTACACAAACACTTAACCATAAACTAGCCAACCACATTGTAGTTTTGAGTTTTATGTGAATTTGACCCATCTGATGTCAGCTTCTCTGACCTTTTGCTTAATAAAATTGCCTATATTGGCAAAGTTTCAACAGCTACCAGGACAGCACAATTTAAACATAGGCTTGTACTCACAGTGGTACAAAGATCTTCAGATCATTTAATCCTCATTTAGAGAGAGAAGGGAGAACAAAAGCAAGATGCTATCACTGAGTAGAGATCTCCCTATTTGTGGATTATCCAATTAGCTCTCTTTTCTGAATGATATACTATATACCATGGGTGTCAAACTGCTGGCCCACAGGCTGGATGCATCGTTGTGAAATTGCACCTACCCCATTGCCGGCAATGGCAAAAAAATCATGATACATCGCAGCACCCCTGCTATATACTATGACTTGGAGTCAAATTAGGTACATGTTAGAACCATGTGACTAAACCCAGTCATGTAGAAATAAGTTGCAAGTAACAAGAATTTTTACAACAAAAAATGTCTGTGTGACTTTATGAAGCACACAGAATCTTTACCATCTTCTCTTCCCAATTTGTTTCTCACCAACAAAGCTACAATATGCTGTGTTCAAATCAGATATTATTGGAACATATTACTGAGAATTGCTTTATCACAAGTAAAAACCTCATACTACTTTTTTAAAAAAGGGTTTTTTTTTGTTTAGTAGAATACAAGCACTTACTTTTAAAGTTTTATGCCAAAATGCACTCGAAATTGCAATCATATCTATCTGAGTAAATAAGCATCAGATTGCAGTCTGATTTAGATCACTAGTACCTGCCTTCAAGTAGCACTTTCAAAATGTGTCTGGTAATCTCCTGCTTATGACCCCAAGTGCTTTTTTTATATTTTAATTCATCTTTGGGTATGAAGCACATAGTTCAATGGAGGCCCCAAGCTTCTTGCTTACTTCTGTTCACATCCCTTATGACATCACAAGGAGCAAATATGCTATGTCATTAACTCACATTAGTGGTTGTAAACCCTAAATTAATTCCAGTTTTCAAACAAATCAATTAGTATTCAAAATTAAAATTTAAATAACTACAGTTTCATTTTTTGTATTGATGTTTGTATTGTAAAATCATAATTTGAAGTTAGTTTAAATTCATGTTTCCTAAACTTATAATCATAATTTCCCATATTAAAAAAGTAAAGTATTTGGTTCATTAATACAGATGCATCAGAAAGAACACTGATGATCCTGTTAAAAGATTATCTTGGCTAATTAGGTTGAGATATGATTACTGTTTTATTTAGTTCCTACGCACTTTTATTCTGTTAACTAGTTCTAGTATTAGCCTAATAGATAAATATGCAAACCAGCTTCCCATTTCTCTGTTTCTATTCAGGTCTTGAAAGATAATTGATTTTGAAATTTTGGAAAGCTGCATCTTAGGAAAAATATGCAGCTGTTGTTCAGTTTCTGTGTGCTTATCTGGTCTTTTTTTAAAATACATCCCAAAGAACCAGATTATGGAGTAAAGAGGTCTGGAACTTTCTGATTGTTAAAAAAAAATGTAACTGCTACTTTTTCTTTCCTTTTCAACAATGAAACTTCCTGCATTCAGACTTTGCCATCCAGTCATTCTTAAGAGGCCAGTCTTCCTATTCTAATAGCTTTTTTCTCTCTCTCTTGAAGGTAGGATGGTACAATGAGGTCCTTTCTCCAACTTGGCATTTGCAGTATTCTGATGATACTCTGGCATTTGTAGTGTTAAGCATTCCTGCTATGTTTGATAAGGCATTCAAACCCTTCCTGAAGAAACAACTACTGAAGAAGATTCACGATCCAGTGGATCAATGCATTTCTTATCATCTCTCGCTGGTTAGGAAGGTAAGACTCATCTATTCCTCCCTTTTGTCTCTTCTCCATTACAAATACAAAAACAGTCCTGCTTGATTATGGCAAGACTCAATCCAGTATCCAGTACCGAGCCACAATATGCCAGCAACTGGTCTGCACAAACAAGCAAAGCTCCACCCGCAGTATGCAGGCAGCATACAAAACCACGCCCCCTCCGGTCTTCAGAAAAACTTCTCTTCACAGAACCGGTCCCTGGTGCTCAAAAGATTGGGGACCTCTGCAGTATCCTGTTTCTAACAGTAGGTAGCCATTACATCCATGCACACAACTAAGGCCTATTATTTGCTTTTATTCAAAGGCAAACTTGTGGTTTTGGCTTATAAACACAATGCTGGCATGGTTTGGCAATGCCTTTTCTGATCCAGACGAGAATGTCCTGCTCTGATAAGTAACAAAAGCAAGCTTATGGACTTTTGTTCTATTCCACTCCTACAGGAGGTCTGTGGCTGATCTCTAGTGCATGACTTAGCATTATGTGTTAACCCGAACAATTGTAGTTTATTCATGAAACTGTGACCAAGAATACCATAGTTTTGTATGTTTTGTAATCTCAGCTAATATGTCTAAATCCTCATTTAGCCAATATTGCTAATACCAATGGATGAACATATTTATGCGTTGCATCCATATCTAAGCCAGCCCTTACTGTGAACTCTTCTGAGAGCTAGTATGACGATGTAGAGCAGGGAACCCAAGTGAAAGGTTTCCATTCTTAACCACAGAATTCTCGCTAGGTGATTTTTGGGTCACTCACTTTTCTCAGCCCTCTTTACCTCATTTGGGGTTACTATGAAAAAAGGTAGAGAGAGAAAGCATGATATATGCCATTTGGAACTGCTGGATGAGTAGTAATATAAATCTAATAAATTCAATTCTTATCCGTACATATTAACATTTTCTTTAATACAATATTATGCTAGCTTACCAGTTATGCTATGTATACTTGTTGATAGTTTTAAGAGTTAATAAAGCAGAGCTTACCTGACTTTTCTTGGGGAACATTCCTTTCTCTTAGTTTAATAAGCTAGTTTTAGTACTGTAATGCTTTCCATAAATCTAGGCAACCTAGAATTAGGTTAGCAGATTCTTTGTTTCTTTTTAAAAAATAAATTGGTATTTCTTTTCCTGCTTTCCACTCATTCTACAGAAGGCCAGTCTTAGTGACAGGTTGCTTGTTTTTGTAAAAGGTTAACAGTATTACATTTGAATTTTTAAAAACAGTCTGTATATACCAGTGAAATACAGGTATTTATTTTTAATTTGCTATTTAGCTCTGAAACTTCATCTCTTGTCTTTTATTAATTGTGCCTATTAGGTGTGGTCATAATAAAAAAAAGTCATATTGTAGAGTGAGTTGAGGAAGTAAAGTAAGTAGATGAATAGAATTAATCATCAAAGGACCTTGAAACATTTTACAATATTTGTTCTGTATAGAAATGGAAGTCTTATTGGCTAGTCTTTACAATAGACTTCTACAATCTGGGTGTCCTGGCCAGAGATTAAGGGAATTCTATCCCAATATATCTGGAGGCATCAGTCTGAAAGGCAGCATGAGATTGTTGCTATGGGAATGAATAAGAGTAGAATATCACATGGCAAAAGCAAACAATATATAGTTGGCATTGTACAGACCACAAAGCACTTATTAGGCCCAAGAATCCAATATAGGCTAGTATGACAACAAAGAATCAGGCTTTTCTGTATCTCTTTGCTGCCATCTCTTTGTAAGCTGGAATTTTGCAGTTCAGATATAATAGCTCTGGTATATCCATGAAAATAACTAACGTATATGATAATTCCATTAGATTAGTTGGCTGGGGAATTCTGGGAGTTGAAGTCCACACATCCTAAAGTTGCCAAAGTTAAAACAAACACTGAATTAGATCACTGCATTTTAGGGAAGCACACATCTTCATTTTTATCATTAACAACCTAAATAAAAGAGACTGCATATCTTTCATAGTTCTGATTGTATTTTAATTTGTAGAAGTCATAGTTATGTTTCTAATTTTATTGGGATTAGGGAACAGTGTGATGATATTACACAGAGATGATTTAATTCACTTTAGGCTAAAGATGAAGGATAATTTTTCTAAATATTTGAAATTTTGATGAGGGGAAAAAACTAGTACAAAGGTAAATGTTATTTGTATCTGCAAGCAGACACAACAAACATCCTTCTTAAAAACATGTTGTTTTCAACATGTAACAACTTAAACATGCTTTTCCATATAATAAGAGAGAGAAATATAGAAAATTATCTTTCTGCGCAAATATAACACTTTCTTAGGAAATTGTTTGTGGAGCAAATAGTTACCTCAGACATTTGTTTTAATTATTATCTTTGCACCAAACTCACAATATGCTAATGCAACTGAGAGAAACACTTTGTGAAGTTTATAGATTTGATTCTTTTGTAAGGAAAAGCATATGATTGTAAGCTGTCCAGAGTTATCCTGAGGTGAGGTGAGCAGCCAATACATTTATTGTTTGTGTGTGTGTGTGTGTGTGTGTGTGTGTGTTTATAATAAATAAATAAATCCATCATGATAGTGCCTTTATGTCATGGGACATTTCACTTTTTGTGGCTTTTCTTCAAATTTGAAAATGGCTTGACAGGTGTGCAAACACAACAACACATCTTTCCATTATACACACACCTGCTGAGCGGTTGCTTCTATACACAGAGGCAATTATGGCTGTTAAGTTTCTGGCATAGGATAATTTCCTTTGCTTTTCTTTGCTTTGCTCCAATCTCCCTATTATAACCACCCAGATGGACTTTGTGATAGGGTGATAGACTTTGCTTGGCTATAGTTAAGTTAGCGCGATGCAAAGGTAATTACCAATAAATTTGACCCTTCAGAGTAGTTTTTCTTGTTTCTCCACTTTCCGGTATTTAGAATGTTAAAATTCAAATTGATATCATTCAGCTGCCTCAGTTTAATATGTATGCAAACAAAAAATAATGAAACCTTTGAGTGGAGACTTTTTTTTTACTTTAGCATTGTTTATAAACCACTTATTGAAGGCCTTGCATGAGAAGACCTATGAGAATAGGTCTATACATGAGAAGACCTATGAATTTCTTAAAGGGATTGATGAAATAATTTGTAGAATCCTAAGATTAAAATCAATGATACCTGAGAGAATACAATGCCATGTACTTCAGATCTTGCCAATGTAAGACATTCTACCTTCCTCATCACCATTTTGTGTCATTAGACAAGGCAGGAGTTTGTAGAGATGGTTCTTACATTTCTACACATACCTGCAGCCACTATTCCTTTACATTGCAGGTTCACTTGTAATGAAAACTCTTCTTTCCAGAGTCTTGCTGACCAGAATATGGATATCATGTATGATTATGAGATCCTGCCCAACCGGAAGCCCAAATTCCTGGCCCAGACAGCGGCACATGTGGCTGGTGCTGCATACCTCTATCAGAGAAAAGATGTACATCAAGATTCCTGGGGAGAAAAAGTAAGCAGACTGGGAACAGCAGGGAAGGTTTTTTTCTTTGAGAACTGATGGGTCATTCCTGATTTTATCAATTCAGAAGGATCAAGTATATTTTGCAGAGTGTGCACTGTACCTGATTTCCTCTTCCATTCCACTTGTATTATTATCAAGCTTGCATCTTACACCTTGTATCTACATACCCAGTTCCATGGGTATGTGCAAGACTATTTGCATCCTTCTCTTGGACAGGTTATGAAACTGGAGATCAGTGAAATACAATTACTTTTCTTTAGTACAATATGTTTGTCTATGTCTATGGAGATTCTCAGTCACCCAGGTCATGGTTGTCCCAAAGGTGCTTTTTCAGGAGGCAACTGGACTTTGTTGTTTTTCTTTGAAAACTCTTTTTGCTTCTTATCCAAGAAGCTGCTTCATCTCTGACTTGATGGTGAGGAATGGAAGGATTTATATTCCTTGCAGACAGCTGGGCATTTGCCTTTTTTAAAAAGAGTCATTGAAGTCATTTGGAGGTTTATCTGTGTCCTCAGGGAAATGTGTTTTTCTGGATTTTTTGTTGTTCTGTTTCACTGTTACCATAAACCTACCATTAAAATAATAGACTGATCATTTCTTTGTCAGTGGGCAAATATACAAAATCAGCAGGGGATCAAATAATTTTCCCCACACTGTATGTAATAACGGGACAAAAAGAATGCGTAAAAATTATGAAAATTAATACCTCTCACAACTAATTTTCAACTTTGTTCAAAACTATTTCTTAAAGTAACTGAAAGGAAAGTTTCTATAGGCATGAGGGTTTGAAATATGATTGCAGTAGAAAACTCCAGGTCAAATCCTGTTACTAAAGTTCCACAGTTATCTTCTGAAAATAATAAAATTGGGGCCATATATCTATTTAATGTAGTTTATTCTTTTGGCATAAGGTGTTGTGTGAATCCACCATTGTACTATATTTAACAATCCAGGGATTAACATGATGCATGTACTGAGTTAACATTTGTCTTTTTTCTGCGTAGGATTTGAGCATTGGGTTTCTTTAAATACATGTCTTAAACCTGTTTTCTTTCATTTCAGAAGATCTATGGTGTTTGTATTCACCCCATTTACGGAGGTTGGTTTGCAATCCGGGCTCTTCTGCTTTTTCCAGATATTAAGGTACCTTTCTTGTTGCAGAAAAGCCCTAATGATTGTGTACCAACAGAAGAAAAAAGAATAGAACTGCTGGAGAAATTCAATTTCCACTGGCGGGATTGGAGCTTTCGGGATATTATTGAAGTGAAAGATAA